CAAAGCAGTGGGTTATACTGCTCGTAAGATTGGTGTGTGCTTTATGTTTGCAGTGTTACCAACTCCTTTGCGGTAATGCGGAAAGTAAGCACTTATGGAAAACCTTCAAATATACATAATGTGTCAAGTGGTTATCTGATAATTGGCAATTTGGTTGGGTTGGCTAATGTGCCGAAGGGAAACGTGCACATTCAGCATTTGTCTATTAAAGGCAGCCTGATTTGTGGAATATGATGAGAGGGTGTTAGAAGTAATTGATAAATGTTGAATGACGTAGTGATCGGAACTGCTTTGTTCTGGTGTGTAGTAGCTACTGATCTGCTTTGAGATGCATAACAGGTGATTTCTGTGTAGGCATCACCTCTTGTTGGTGTCACAGCTTGTAGCTTTCTTTCTCGTAGCAAAGTTGACATTTTAACGTGGAAACATGCACCTCAGCTTGCATTAGTGAGTGATGGGATAATCCGTTTTCACGAGGAATTTGGTAATTTTGCATTGGCTGTGCAGGCATAAAATCAATTTTGGTATTTCTTTACAGGGATTATCTTTTGTGTGTGAATTATGGGTGGTGAGTTGTGTGTTATGAGGTGAGAGGAGTAGATTCGACAAATGCTTAAGTCGGAAATTGCGCAGTTCCTGACTTCGCACTGCAACTGTCGAGAGCAAATACAGTGCCAAGTTCCTAGTTCTGAACTGAGAGCACAAAATGCTAAGTCATCTCTGACGTTTTGCATTTATAAATAGTTTTTCTCAGCTTTTGTACCCCGTCTTTGCATACTTCTTTGCCAATAGACCATGTATCTTTCTCTGGTTTTGAACTGAAACAAGTCCGACACACCAGATTGTGCCACCCCAGCTACTTAGAAGTGAGCTTACATGTCTTCTATGGCTATGTTGCATTTTAAAGTCAATTGTTAGTTCTGCAGTGATCAAAACATACGATTGTCTTGTAAACTTTGTTACAGATACCCTATCAAATGTTGGCCATAGGTAACTAGGAGGTTTTGCAATTCCACAAATTCAGTTTGGCCTACACATCCATGTTTTGGCATTGTTTCCCATCAATCAAAGTAGTAGAATAACTCTGACCAAGTAGAATGTCCCCTAGGTAGCAATGCCACTCTCAGGCACTCGTTCCTTTACGCTATTTAACAACCTTTAAGTTTCGGCAGCGCCTACAGCCTTAATATAGTTGGCTGACTTTAGGAAAAAGTCCATAGACTCGCATACATACAGATAGACAGGCAGAGAGACGGACTTAGGGTTGGACGGACAGACAGGTATACATGCATGTTTTGTAGTACAAACGAACCATGATATTGAAAATGGGTGAAGGGACGCGTACATCTAAGTAATACCGCAGATAGAACGGCACAAAATGGAATTTTGCATTTCAAATTTTCTACCTTACTTGACTCACCTCTCAATATTGTTAGTACTCTGACCTCCCCATACCCACGCTCGCTTACCAAAACTGGGTGCTTCGCCCCAATGGGTGGTAGTTAAGACAGCGAAATCGGTGTTAAACTAGGTATTCATTTCTTCGTATAGTAGCTTCCGTATATATAAAAATGCGGCATAGCAACCGGCAAATTGGGTGAGGACAAATATGCAAAGTTTAACCAATCACCATTGCACTTGACAATTCATGGCCAACATGACTCTCTTATCCAACCATTTGTCACTGAAAGCAAATAAACAAATTCCAGACACCTACGTTCCTGTCACATTTCTTAGCCGCTCGTCATATTCTGTTCCATTCTGTTCTCTTCTATTCTATTCTGTTTTATTCTACTCCACTCTGGTCCATTTGACTCTATTCGGGTTCAAATGAGACTGTTGAAGTATCGAGGACCAAGGGGAAAGATGGGAATACGTGGCATAGGGAGAATGGGATAAGGACGGAAACAAAAAAGAGAGCAAGGATGAATTAGTATTCTCACACTACCTCTTCTTTACCTCACACCGCTCCCTCTCCATCCCCTACAACTTAAATTAATTGCCAGGCGATTTTGAGGACTAGATTTGGCACAACTGGTGACAATTTTGACACGTTGAATGTGCGAATGAGAAATAGGCTTAGGTCAGTACAGGCTGGTTAAATAGATGCTGGGAAGCGAATGCCATTTTCTTACTATTAAAATTAGCAAGCTGCAGATGAGATATACCAAAAGTGGCTAAGTGATTAGTAGTGTAGTCGACAGTGCAGACACTTTGCAAGGCTAAGCAATGAAAACGAAGTTAACAGGCTCTATTCACTCCATGGTTTGAGATTTTTGAGTTGCGAAAAATAAATGAAGGCGGAGAAAGAGGGAAGGATGCTAAGGTGCCAGGGTGCTCAATGCATTCTATCTTATTCACTGGATTTGAATGCAAAGAGGAGTAAACAGGAGGAAGTAGAAGCGATAGTCGGTGCTAGAGTTTGTTACAAGTCAAAAGTGGTACTCAAGCTACATTCAGTGAATAAGAGCTCTCCTGGTCAAAGCCAAGTTACTTTTCTAAATAATAAATTCCTAGACGACTTGTCCTCTTGCAAATACTGGTGCCATGAGCAATCCCATTCTGTACTCAGTTTATATATATGTGCTTATGTTATCGGTCATCACGGACAAAAATTAACCACCTTTCCTTTTCTATAGTTCATGACTTCCTTAAGCGCATCGATCCTCGTGGAATTTTTAGTGGCAGAGTTGAAGTGAAAGTCAATTCTACCGAGGGTCTCATGGCAGATGATTTTTTTTGATTTCGTACTTGCAGCCCACCTCATGTGAGTTAAGGCTTATATACTTCGTGCCAAATTCATGGTCAGTTTCCATTTAACACTGTGATAAAGGTGCCTCATGGTTGCAAGTATCACATACCAGGCCAGGGTTAATAGCCACGAGCTGCAAAAGCTTTATTGTCCGCCAAGCCCACCGAACGAACTATTGGTGAAGAAGCAAGATCGGAAAGCAGAATGCTGCGATCACATGTATAAACTGAACAGGTTGGTAAAATTTTCAGTTACTGTTCCCATTATTCACTCTTGGACGTCTTTCGGGGAGAGTATTTCGCAGGGAATGCCGCTTTGCACTAAGCTTTTCAAAGTGAGCTGCTATAAAATGGTAAGAGTAGAACAAGAAGGCGTAAATATCGCATCCCAACATCAACAAGATAGCACAAATGGAATCTTTTATATCAGGCTGGTCGGCTGTTGGTCGATTAGGGAGAATCGGAACAAAGATTAGAGGCTTCGGCCAGGCAGACATACGTAAGCAAAGGGGATAACCTGCATGAGGAAGTCAAAAGAGGTATTAACTCACTTGAAGGCAAAACCTGTTAGGAGAAACATTTAGAGCGCATGGATACAGATGGAATGCAGTTGGTTCGCGGGGATTTGTTGCTATATTTTAAATTTGATAAGAGGCTACGTGGAGCATCTTAAGATGTTTCGTTTGTTGAATTCATCAACATCGCAAACATCAGTCCATTCCCATTTTTTCCCATTTACTGCACGGAACCTTACAAATAACTTTCCTTTAATTAACCAGTTCTGTGGTTCTCACTGTCACAGCAGAGGAAACGAAAGCAGTTAATCCTTCATTCTTTCAAGTTGTACCAGCTGGTATTAAGCGGTGGAGAGGTCTTAGTCCTGATGGTTATTTGGACTTTAGCTGGTCAACAATTTCACTGTGAAGGGTAAGTAATTAAGACGTAAAAAGCGATATGGGCCTAAGGAATACGAACTTGTGTGGAGATGACTAGTGATACAGTGGTTCACTCAGCTTTGTAATACAAAATCCATCCTCCACCACGACCTAGTCAGTTACTTAGCCAGCCAGCCAGTTATGAGGTGGAGGGCGGAAGTTATGAATAACAGCCCTTAGCTGCTTTATATTCGCTGACTTTGATGAAGAAAGACAGCTCATTTGGCACTGTTAGCTAGAACGGAGCTTCTGTTTGGAGGTAGTACACATGTATTTGCGCAGTGATTCATCACCACAATAAATCTACTGCTCCAGGTGCCATATAACAAACCTAATGGGAGATTATACCCACGCCTTAGCTTTGAAGGAGGCTCGAGGTCTGTTGGCACAACAGGTAAGGCCGAATGGAATGCACCACCTTTAAAGAGTGTATAATAGAAGATGTTTTAATAGAAACACGATAACGTGTAATGTGCTGCGAAGTTTTGGTGTGTGCACTTTTCAAGTTACGACCATAAGGTATACCGTGTCCACTCTCTCCTCACCCGATGTAGCTTTATCTTGCTCCAACGAAACATACACAACGTACGATCTTTCATTAATCAAATTAACTGCGCAGAAAATCTGCTTTAGGCTATACACAAAAGCCTTTTTAAGGAATTTTTCCTATCACGAATAAGTTGACCTTAAACGTACTATTCCCACACATTTTAATTTTACAGTCCCATCAATCATTTAGTCACCACAACTTGTAAAATATACTCGGGTGAGAGCATCTAGCGCTCATCAGAAAGTTGATATTTGGAGTAGACTAACACGTGGGCTGGCAAAAATGAGAGACAGAAATGTTCATTTTTTGTGCAGTGTAGGTTGGCTAATTGAGTAGCGACTGAGCCACACAAAGTTAGTCCAGATCCTCTAGGAAAGGACTAATCATGGAATCTACATGAATATCTGTTAAAGGGTTCATTTCAATACCTATGGGAAACTCTCAAATATGTGTTATTTTGACAGGAGAAATGGCAGTCAAACAGATGAAGCTTTGCTTCATTGTGAATTGTTGATTTACCCAATGCCCTCTATCTTCTCATCCTTAACTTGTATTCAGGAATTTCCTTTTTTGAGCTTCGACATTTGGAAGGGTTAATTTTCGTTAAAGTAGTGATGCGTAGATTTCTCGTAGATATATAAATTGAGGCTTTTGAGTAAAACCAGTCTAAATGGCCTTCCTATGCTGGCCATTCTTCCCAGCATACTGTAGACAAATGACGGTCCCCTTAAAAACCAGTCATGTTTTTCATTGTCAAAATTGACGCAAATAAAACAATGAGAATATCAAATTGTACCACCTGCTAGATCTGTCCATGAAAGGCAATTTCATTACCCTAATATATTTTCAGCCTCACCCATTGCTCTGCCATTACGCTTCAGCCTGAAAGCAACTTAAAGGAATCAGGTTACTCGACAAAGAATTCCGCTGAAATTAGATGCCTCATAAATCAAAAAGGTTGGACTAGAAATACACGAGACCTGGACTATATTTTCCCCAGTAAGTTAACTTAGAGGCGACGGTATACTTGTCAGCCACAAAGTCGGATTGCTCGACAAACAGCCCTCACATTTGCGCCCTCATTCTGCCAAACGTCTAATTGTCCTACCTTATGGCGGTAGTAGTTGTGTTCTCCGCAGTCATCTTACCCCTATCCTTAGAAAATACTAAAATAAGTATTGTTGGCTTTTCTTGTCATCGAAAACATAAAGTCAAGTTTTGTATTCATTGGTTGTGGAGCTGTAACACTGGATCCCGTTTAGGATCACTCTTTGAGCAATTACTTGACTATTCTACTTTCACCGAAATCCCCTTCAAGGTTGTCAAAAAGGACTACATAGGAATCACATCTAACTGCATTAGGGCATCGCTCGAAGTGTGAAATCAAACTGTCCTCTGCTTAGTTGTCTCTATAACCTCAAAATGTTAGCAAATCAGCTGCACTAAATAGCTGAGTATCCTCAGGAAATCATATGGAGGCTTTTCCGCTTCAAAATCTTCCTTCTACCATATAATTACACACCAGTGGGTCCATATCATAAGATAGCGTTTTGATGCTACGTGATATTGTTAGTGAAGGAGTTCTGAAAGTAGTGTGTGCTTGTGGAGTGCTGCGCTCTCTACAGATTCAACAAGCTAATCATTCTTAAGCACGTGCTGCAATTTGTACGGTATCAACGGTGTAGCCAAAAGCTCTCCACAACTCAGACTGCGCAAGGGGTATGGTGGAGGAATCAGTGTCGCATCCTTTGAATCACACTTCTGTTCTTTTCATCTCTTCTGCCAACTAACATCAACAAACAACAGTAAAATGCATGACAATAAAATAGTGTACTCATCACGAGATCATGAGTTATCCAAGTGAAACGTCTCCTCTAAACAAGTTTGCACAGTGTGTTTTAGATGGAATTTGGTATGGTCTGCCTCCGTGTTAAGCAGTGCTAATGCATATGCTGGGAGAAATAGGGGATAAGCCAGCCAAACACAATAAAGTAGGTTATCTTGTTGGTTTAGCTGTGGGTATCCATGGTGATATCTCCTACTAATCATCTCGCCAATGCGCACCCCTGCTTATTATGTAGACAAAAACGTCAGTGCATTCTACAACATATTGTATGTTACACGTGTGATCATTTTCCCCCTCCTCCTCCTCGTCCTCCTCCTCCTCCTTACCTTTCGGGTTTGTCTCCATATCATGCCGAAAGTGCGTGTATCAAGCGCTACAACAGGGTTGAAGGAGGAGCAGTGGAAACTCACCAAAGTGTTGTGATTACGAACAATGGTTTTGCTCTTCTCGTATTCCATTTAATTTAACAACACAAAGCAAGTGTAGTCTGCATCATCCGGTGAAGACATTACATTTTCTCCTTTACGTCAGCATTAATGCAGGCAAAAAACAAAACTACAAAAGCCAAATGGAGTTCGCGAAAGATCCTCCAAACACAATAAAATGAGGTATTTTGCTAGTTTATGCATGGGCATTTAAGAATGCATGTTAAGGGGTTAAGAGCCTTACAATGTGCTCCATCACCGAGTTGACCGATGGAAACGTCACCTTCTCCTACAACTGCTGCAACAGCTAGGAATAAATGCTGCAAACTCGAGGTGCTACACACCGGCCAAAGTCAGCTAAAGCTCTAAACAGGATGGGCAAAGGTTGTGGACGGAAATGCAACAATCAATTTGCATTTTACGCATTTTAGTTGAAGTAGAAAAACAAAGTTAATGCAATCTTTTCTATTTCCAAACATAAGCTCTTCTATGCATTACTTAATTGAAGACAAAAAATACGACAATAATTTATTTAAGGTTCCTTCAATAATGCTATTTCTACAGATACCTAGACACTTCTGTGAGGGTTGCAAAATCTTATCCAAAAATATGTTTTATCCGAACAACAAGTTTGACAGGTGCGATTCACGTAAGATAATACCTTTTTGTCCCTCACTGCGCAGTCTAACTGAGAAAGGGTAAGATAATTCATTTCATGGTTCCATATGCAGTCCCAGATTTTCAAAGGCGCAGATGGGCTGGACTCCATCATATGGTCAACAGCAGAGACTGATCAAACACTACTTGACCATTCTTGGGGCATGTTCTAATTATAACAATTTAAACCTCCTTTGTTGTAAGTGATCAAGAGTCCTTCTAACTTCAGGCCTACTTCCTTCCCTTTTCATGCGCCTATTCACAAATCTGGTGACAGATCTCTGTAAAATACTAACCTGCCTACCTACAAACGGGATCGTTAATGTGTGGTCAGTTGACTGTGTGTTCCACAGCTTTTTAACCCGAAAAACGGACATTCTTAAGTAGAAATTAATGTGAATGACTTCTGCAGATACCTCCTCACGGTCCGCCTACGCGTTAACGGAAGTGGGTGCATTAAACCGTAAGCAGCTCTGGTTTCTTCAATACCCTCTTTCAGTCCTTCCATCCCCCTAGAAGCAACAAAGTGGTTGAGTATCCACGGGGACAAAAAGCACTCAAGCAGAACAAAACGAACTGCTCCGCGAGTTGCTTCATCTTATTTAGCCACTTGTTAAACGTCATTGCAAAGCTCCCAAATGAAGCAAAGCATTTCAAGTGCCTTATTTATCCCCACGAACTGTGATGGAGTTAACGTTATAATTCAATTTTATCTAAGACACTTGGTTTTTCTCATCTTGCTGATGCCAGTGTAACCAACATAATCAACAGTACCAAAATTCCGTTCGGTAACTATAGAGGTAGTCGTTTTATAACAATGCTGATGTCTCCGAACGTGATTAGCAGGCGAAGCAAAAAGCTCTGAGCTGTGACAAATTTCCGCAGTAAACTAATCGGAGCTCGTTTGATCTCACGATCTACATCGAGGACCTAACGAACCTCTGATTGGCAAATTTTACTACTTCCGCATAGAAGTCATGGATGTGAAACTTCTGTTATAAGGTGAAGTCCAAGCGGATGTTTAACCGCCTTTGAGCAAATAGAGTTCGGCGGCCTGCCTGTACCTGATGCTGTTGTCCTCAGTGGTTTACGGTGAGTTCTTCCGCTTGCGCTACTGTACAATCGTGGTGTTCTGCAGAATATAAAAGTAAAAAATTAGGATAGACTGTAAAGGGAGGTGAATTTAGACGAGAGAATCTAGATTAAAAGCCCAGACGCTTTTTTACACAGCATTTTAGGTTACTGATTCATTTATCAGGCAAACAGTGAATATGAAATATCACGGCAATCGGAGTGAAGAAAGGAAGAAAGATGCTTGAAACCTAACGTTTATTTGTCTGGTAGATATTCTACTTTCCCCTATATATGTGGGCTTCAATGCTTTGACGCTTTTACCCCTACACTTTGATCAAACATCTTCTTCATCATAATGACTTTCGTCACCTGCAAAACACTCGAGGGTGTGATGAAGGGAACTCCACCTTTTTCAGTCTAAATGCCTCATCACAGCCCCTTTTCCAGCCAACGAGCATGTTATGCTTTTTGAAACGCTTGTGAACGAAAAGTAGTTTCCTAGCCGGAGATAATAAATCAAGCATGTTGCCGATTACCTCAAAAAATATGTCGCCGCACTGAATACTGACTTATCTAAAAAAATAAAATACCAATAGTTCTTTACCACATGATTTCTCCGCATCTGATCTCTACTTCCGCTTGCCACTTGCTATGCATTAATCTTGGACACGATCGTTGTACAGTTATCGGCAACAAGCTTAGTGGTTTATAGCCAACAGATTAATCGGTGTACAAGATGGCAGTTTGAGTATGAAATCTTACTTTGAATATGTCGTTGGAAAAGCGTATAAAAAACATAGGTAGAGATGCACGACTCTTAGCTTAATCTCACATTCGTTTACATGGTGAGAGATCCCGTCGGCTGTGCATGTCTTTTATCTTGGCAATGACTGACGTCAGAAGTAGGGAGAACTGCTCCTTTGTGTACTTTGCCTTCTGTATCCACATCTCAGCATCCTGACGAACGACGAAATAGGCTTCGTTTATCTTGATCATGTAATGTAACCACGAATGTTTAAGTGACTGTTCTAGAGCAAATCCTTTCGAAGATTGCCACCTAGGGGGAGGGTACAGGTTTCTTCTCCACTGAAGCCTTTCTACTATGCGTAGGCAGTTAGTCTGTTAATCCAAAGCCTTTGTCTGTGTATGTTGAATAGCATCTCGTGGAATAATTTATATCAGTATTGTCTCTCTTTTGGGCTTAGACATGATTTTCTGCAGCGGGCAAAAGTTATTTGTAATAAACTGGGTTACTGTTAGCAGAAGTACAAATAGGACGTAGCAGCTAAGAACACTAAATTTGGCTTTGATTTTGAGATCCTGTCTTATTATCTCCTAAGTCTTTAAGAATATGCACAAACAAAGAGCGTTTCTTAACAAATGAGACCTAACTCTTGATTGTATCAACGTAATACTTATAAAGATCTAATCATTTTCAAATTATTCCTCTTCCCATGAACACTGATTAAGTTCGTGAAAAATACACCGTAAGGGAGCTTCCAAGGTAATCCTTCTTTCTCAGCTTACTACTTAGAACGGTGTTTTAGGCACTTACTCTATCGTAAAAGGACAGTTGGGTTATAAGCTACATCAGCAGCAGTTTCTGGAGAAGTAAACCAAAAGGTATCCTATTCAACGAATACCAAAACTTATCACATTCTCAGATCCGTGTTGAGTTTATCAGCCGTTTGCGTTAGTTGAATTAATTCTCTGTGAAGTAGGAACATGCTTAGAGATAATAGAAAGCTTTTACATTTCCCAACCGCTTGGCAAAAGTTGATGTTCACTGTTTACAGCTGCGAGGGAATAAAACTAATGGTGACGAGGTAGTAAATCCGCTGTAGTTTCTTTACGTCTGCTTTTCAATGGAGATTATATATATTCGACCGTTAATGCATCCTCGTAAAAACTACGTTCTTCAAGATCACCCAATTCCACATATAAACTTCGAAATTACTGGTGTTTCATTACCCCATGATTCTTTACCGTTGGCACCCCATTTCAGTAGGTCACCAGAGTTTGCCTCCACTACGTAGTGAGGCTGTAAAAAATGCATCCACAATATGAGAAAGTCACTCATCAAATTCGCCTCCAGTTAGTCGGATATTTAAACGCAAAGTCAATGATCCCTTTTGGCTGTTTCAATGGAGTCGGAATTTCTTCCTGTTTGAAAACTATATTAAGAAAGGGGAATTGTGCTGGCCATTTCGTATGTCCATCGCTAGTCGTTGACACACTGGCCTAAAAGCAGAGTCTTTTAATAATAAAGACCGAGATTTAACATAGCTCTGAAAAAATTTGTTTTCGCGTCTATTTCTCCTTGCCAATTTGTTCTCATTTTAGTGTTACTCAGCAACATCTATCAGGGTTTAAGCAAAGTAGTGAAGATGTGAAGGAGATATCGCATGTTCACTTAAGTGACATTTTCATACAGGTACCATGGGCAGCTTTGTAACGACCTTATTTAGATGGTCCATGGCCGAGGCTGGCGTCACTACACTTGTTTACAGCATTTCTTCAGAACACAGGATGGCGGAAGATGCCGAAGGTGGATGCCATTGTCAACCCTTACATTATAGATCGCCACAGATTCCCCCATCTGCAGCCTATACCCCTCTTTCACCATGTCAAGATTTAGCATTCAGTAGGTGCCCTCAAGGACCTGGTTCACTTTCTGCTGCCACCAATGTAGCATTCTGAGTCACTTTTGAATGAATAAAAATGCCATAATACCAGAAGTGAAAATGTATTGCCGACGTAGAGAAGGGCTGGAGAAGAAATGGCGTGATCCAGAGGGCCATGCCATCTAGCGGAATTACAAAGGTGGAGTCCTAAGTCCCCGTTAAATCAAAATTAAGAGCTAACTGAACAACCTGAGTTTTATATGACTGATTACTTAAAGCGACAAGACGACAACCATTGAAGCCCAATGTTTCTTTGAGCCTCTTCTTACAGATGACAAGTCATGATTACCAATTCGGTAACAATTTAATTATTTCTAAAGTTGGGCGCTTTATCTTCTGAGGAATTCAACCCTCAAATTATGACCACTGTTCAGTGTATGATGAACGTCAAATTTCTAAGTGGACCCTTTAGTTCTCATGATGAGATGCCCTTGGTGACGAGATCCCTTCGAAGAAAGTGGAATTAAGGCCTGGCTAATCTACTTGTTAGTCTTCCTTTAAGTCA